CATTCTGCTGAGTGATTTAGCAACTCGTACAATTTTATTAGTGTCGATGTTACGTAGTTATAACTCATTAACAGGTTGTCTTTGGGCATTGACAGTTGTGAATTAAAAAAAAAAATAAAGAGAAAAAAAAATTAGTTATGTAAACGCTGTCTGTATTTATGAATTGTACAAATTTACGCCACAAAATGGAAACCAGGCCAATTTAGTAATTAAAAAGATATCTTATAAAATATTAATTTATTCGGCAAATAAATACAGATAAATGACGTCTGAATTATAATCAAGGTTAGATAAGATTTATAAACAAAAACTTTTCCCCGCGTTATGTACATCCTTCTTTCGCTCTGATTCTTTTTATATATATATATGTTTGCATTTTTAACTACCATATCATACATTTAGAATGTAAAAAAAAAACACTCAACAATTTTTTTTTTTATTAGTATAACATTAGACAAATACTAAAAAGTTTTATATGCCGTACAAGTCCACGTGGTGTTTCCAAACACTTGTTGCTGGTGGATGACCCGAGGTGTCTGTCTATTGGTTTGGCTTATAATTTCGGGATTGTCTGTCTAAGAATATTCAAGAGTAAAATTCCTGGCGTTAAAAATGTTGAATGTAGTGGCTTTTAAAATCTCTATTCACAATACTCTTAGATAACTTTTTTTTAAATTTCCTAAGAATTGTGGAAAATTTCTTTTTATTTCTTTTTTTTTTTTATGGAAGGGAGAGGTGCAAAGTGGTTTGTGTCTAAATATAAAACTCCATATTTTTTCTGTACTAATTAATGTTGTAAAAATATAAAAATTATTGTTAATATTAGAATACAACGGTGTATTATTATACAAATGATTTAAGCTGACAGTTGAACAGACCCTCTCTTTAATAATAACTTTTCTTCTCCCCTCTTGGGAAATTTTTTTTCAGTTTAGGATGCCATAAGGTCCGAGTGTAGGGTAACATCTATGTTGGGAACGATCTTGAAAATTAATTTTAATTTTTACTCGTATAGTTTGTGATAAATGACACGATGTTCTTATATCCACTTCATATATTTGAATTTTTTTAAAATTCTTTTTGTATATAATCAAATATTTGTAATATATAGGCAGGTTATTAATATCGGAATTATATATTCTATCTAAACAAGGGGACATTTCAACCCATCCGATATTAATCTTTATATAATTTCTGAATCAAAATATAAACCTAAATTTTTTTTAGCGGGATTAGTATTGTTGGCGATATCGAAAAAATAATACACGTAAGCTAACTATTATCTGAATAATAGAAGTATTTCTGCCGCATTTACTGTGTTTTTGAATCGATAAATAAGATAAAGATTCTTTAAAAATCAATTTGAAGCTCCATAAAAAATGTATTTAGTGAATTTTTGTAATAAACTGACGATATCTTTTATTGAAATTATTATAAAAATACATAAGCTTTTTCTATTCTAAATTTTTATGTTTAAAGGAAACTTCACAATAATAAGTCTTGTCAAGTCAGTTAAGGGAGGTTTGTAGGCAATCCCTGCTGGATGTTATCGCAATCTATTTAATTTATTGACAACATGCAATATTTTCTCCGGTTTTTATTTCTTAGAGATATTTTTTTGTGTATGTGTTTACACCATTAGCACTTTTAAATTTATTTCACCTCCATAAATTTCTTTTTTTTTTTTTGACAGTTGTCGGCATGTTTCTTACCTGAAATTGTGAAATTACATTTCCCCTTAAAATTTCAGTGAGAAATGGCGACTATTTATAAAACATAAAATCTTGGTGAAAAATGGAAGTTTTAATTATTAGTAAAAAGGCAACCGTTTTGCCTATCTCCGGTTCTAACTCAGTGCACGGAAAACGCATTTGAGGACAACGAACTTTTGTAACGTACATATGGTAAAAGCTGAAAAGGCAGATAATGGCGAAGAACGGAAATGACTATTAACCGAGGCGGCAGGTGGTCGGAAGGCGAAGGCTTGGTTAAATGCTAATAACACGCTGGAAAGAGCCAATTGTCCATGTTGGATTTTAAATACTTCTTAGTTGTTATAATAATAGCCGAAGTGCTGAGTCATATCGAATAAAACTTATCTGATATATATTCTTTGAACTAACGCATACTCATTCTTCGAGAGATAAAAGAAAGCTCGTATTTTCCGTTTTAACTCAACCAGCATTACAATATTAAGAAGGAAACTCAGGTTATGGTTGACCCTCCATTGCAGATACGGAAGATAAGGTGTTGGTATTTTTAATGCAGAGTACGGATCACTGGAAAATATGGCTGCTAAGTTTTTTATTGAGTTTGATTTTTTAAGAGAGTGGACATCAATAATAATATTTGAGGAGTAAGAAGAAAAGCTAAATTGGTTGCAAATATGTTGGATGATATTTGCAACCAATTTAGCTTTTCTTCATTAGTGTTTCTTCTTGTTTGTTTTTTTTTTTTATTGTATTTTGAAGATTTTTTGTTAAAACGAAATTCTTCCGTATAATTTGATGTAAAATGAATTCATTGTGTTGTCTACATTGTTTTATTACTTCGTAATAATCCTTTGGTGTGCACAGACAATTTTACTTTATATGATACCAAAAACTGCATTGTTTGGAAAGTATGAATGCCCGGACTGTAAAAATTTGCGATCAACTATCTCCATGTTATTTTCCAACGACTCGCTAACTCTCAACCACATAAATTTCTATTTTGTTCAGTAGGCGTATCACTATATACAATAACATAAGAGTGAGTCGTTACATTTTGTGAATGTCTCGAACAGCAGGAAGCTATTTGTTGCGATCTCCTGAAATCTATAGTTTCATCCCAAACATTATGGACGAAACTATAGCTTTTGGAAATTGGACTTGCACCACTTCCATAATCGATCGTTACGCAATTTATTTTACTGCCCAATTTCAAATTTGGCAAAGCATGGGTTTTTTAAATAAATCGAATGCTATAACCAGTCATAAATAACAAGTTTACACTGAATTACGCACAAATTACGTGATATCTCATTTTTTTTTTTAACCTACACAACTTTCAAAATAAACGTTCTATTTTTCTAACTCCCTCTCGTGGCTGTTATCTTTCAATAGCTTTAGTGAACGTACTAATAATGTTCCACAAGTTCGATAAAAATACGTTTTACCTTAAAATATCCTCAGGTTTCCTTCCTACAGGTTCATTTTTTTACAATCGTCCTTCCCCTCTGTAAAAATTACAGTACACTAAATCATTGTCTCATAGGTACAACCTCCTTACCAGGCCTTTTGGAAACTTTCCTCTAAAACTCTAAAAAAAATAGGAATTTTTAAATTTTCAAATGTTTAAAAAATGACATCTAAGAAGACTGATCTGTTTCAGTCCAAATTCAATATTGCAGTTAAAATATAATTCGATCTCTTTCCTCTGGCTTTAGTCATTCATAAGTATTCTTTTGTAACTTTTACCAACAAGTCAAAGCTCAGTATAGATGAGACAAGATTCCCACGCGACAGGTCTGTCCCAATTATATTTGATGTCTGATAGTCAATCAAGTTTTTTTTGGAATTTCTCTTTCATTATATTAATAAATACTATTGATACATTAATAAATACAAGAATCCAAGTGGCTGATTGTATCTATTTAGGGTGCATACAACAATAAAATACAATTAATTATTATACAACAATAAATGAAGTTAGCATAACATTTTAATGCTTGGTATTATCTGTGCTTAAAACCTGGTATAAACCAACAAAGTTAAAAATATTCCTCATATATCTTTATCAAACACAGTAAGTGTGATGTACCAAGCACTGCCACAAAAAGCAGCACGGCTGTTGAATTGAAATAACGAAATGCTGTACAGACAGTTGTGCCGACGCAATCGCAATTACTAAGTTGCATAACCAATTAGTCCTGTAACAGCCTGAGAATTGTTGACTTTCATGAAGTTCACTGGTACTCACGATCTAAATACTTCTCAATTTAAAAATATAATACGACTAATTATTCTGTGAAGATAAGAGCGAAATTACTTATAATCTATATTTATAAATACGTAAATGTTCGTTTTTTCAAAAGCGCTAATCTCCGAAACTTCTTCACCGATTGCTTTAAAATATTGACATGACGTGTTTCTCTCGGATTCAGGAAAGTTTTTATATACATTTATTTACCGCTTAGTTTTGCCCTTTAGTTTTGGAAAGGAAGCCGAAAAACGTATGTGCCTATAGACTAGCGCCTAAATGGCTCTTAACAATTTGAATTAAACTTGGATAAAGTCTTCTCCTCGAAACTCTTTTAGTTTATATATATATATATATATAATATCCTTTCGCGAAAAGAGTGTGAAAAAAAGTTACAATCGATTCAAAACTATATTTCCGATTAACTCCAAAAAGTACACAATTTTTATTATACCCATCATTATTTGAAAGCTTCCTGAATTCACTGTAAATTAAAAAAAAAAATCGCTAAAATTGGATGATTTAGGGCAGAGATACAATGTATTTAAAATTTAGTACTTTTTCTTTGGAGATCCTGCTATAAACATAAACATATCTGTTATTAGAATTAACTAGAAACATATCTATATTAGACAATTAGAAATATCTGACAACCACAGCAACGCGTGGTTGGGTACAGCTCGTTAATAATAAAAAGTTTAGTGTACCAAGGTTCAATCAGTGGTGTCCAAGGTCAATCCACAAAATTCCAAATCTGCCTCCCAAATAACGGAGTTAGTCTTCTCTACGACTTATGGGTATTAAATAACAAGACTTATGCTGTGTAAAACAATTTATTTTGATTTCATATATATATATATATATATAGTTATTATCATCTTCAGTATATACCAATCCATACAACGCTCCTTCAGTTTGCGTGTCTCTCTTCTTTCCCAGCTTCAACGGACTCAAATCTTGTACCTTTTAATGCAGATTGATAAATCTTAGTTTTTTTACGTATGGTTCTAAAATTCATCTTTCCTCCTACCACGTATTGCATGCAATGCCTTATTCTCGTAGACGTCAAAACGGCTATCTTCCTTCAAAGTAAGCAACTATGTTATACATTCGTAAAGAGCTTATAGTGTATCTTGACATGAGGCACTGTTTTTAACTTAAGTTTTATTAGGTAAACAAATCCGATACCTAGAACTCCACCTGGACAAACGTCTCACTTGGAATCCTCATACTAGACTGAAACGACAAGAAACAGCTCGACGTTTCCGCTTACTCTAGCACTTACTAGACAAACGAGCTAAGCTTCCAATTTATTACAAAAGACTCATATACATGACTGTAATAAGACCTATTTGGACTTATGGAGTTGAGCTATGGGGCTCCACTAAACCATCGAATTCCTCTCTTATCCAATCCCTACAATCCAAAATCCTTAATGTTCCATATGTTTCCGATTCGGCCCCATCTAGGTATCTATCTTTCCATAATAAACCTTATAACCATCCGAATCCTCTGGTTTCTAACCTTGCTTCCTCTTCAATTCCTGATAATCCTCTGAGGCGTCTGAAAAGAAGATGGCCGCGTGATCTCCTTTTGTAGACATATTATTAGAGTGCTACCAGTAGGTAGTCTCTCAGCATGCGTTTTCACGTGATCTTGTTCCTCCTGTGTACACATTTGCTTGATTTATTTATATTAATGCAGTTGTAATATCATAAATACAAAAAAAAAGTTTTCTTTGTTTCTGCTGTATTATGCTAAGTTGTCAATTTTAATGTTAAGTATTATTTAAATTATCTTGTAATGTGATGTTAACAGATGGTGCTAATAAATTTCTTGTTTTCTCAGGTAAACGACTTCCTTTCCGGCAAAGCTCCCCTGAACCTGACGATGAGGCTGGGGGATCACATGATGCTGATCCAGCTGCAGCTGTCGACGGTGGCTCCAGCGGGCAAGAAGGGGAGGCCGACGAAGCCCCCCGCGGCCCCCAGCCCCGCCAGCAGCCCGCCCAGCGAGGACTGCTCCTGCGACCCCAGGCCGGTACTCGACACCAAGGCCCTCGCCGAGGCCTCCCGCAACCTCACGCAGACCCTCAAGCAGCTCTCGTCGGAGGTACTCACTTCAAAGACTGACTCGGTCGAGGTTAGATTTCACCTCAATTCCTTCCCACGCTTTAGAGGAAAATATTCATTCCTAAAGTATAGTTGGCTCCTTGTGTATCCACAGTTACTGCATCTTCCTTCTGATCATACAGTCGACGTCTTCGCTCTTAATAATAATAATAATAAAGCGGGACTGTTGAATACTGCCGCAATTGTAAGAAGCTTTCTCAACATCCAATAGAAATTAAAATAGAACATACCTGAGATGGTTGGAGTTGATTCCCTCCCTCCCAAATAAACAAACACCTTTTGAAAAATATAATAATAATAATATCCATTTTAAGTGAACAACCAGTAAAATTATTTTCATATCGGTCTAAATCATATCATCACTACTACAAATCAAATCAAGAATAAAAATATATCTCCCTGTATTTTAAAATATTTTGTTTTCTTAGTAACCGGTTTCTGTCTTGTGTTTATAGCCTTCATCGGCTAACTCGTACATAAAGCCATGAAACGGCCCTCTTTCCTTGGCTAGGTCCTTGCTCATTTAGAAAAAGAGGAAAGAGGACTGTTTGATGAATTTATGTATAATTTAGCCCTGATAAAAGTTTCAAGACCGGAAAGGGTAGCTATGAAAATAAAATTTTAAAACGCTCTTAAAAGTTAAAAGACAAAATCAAAATTTTTTATACTTTATTGCTCAAGATTGCGTGTGTTGCGAGCATTTTTTTTTATATAGCATTTCCAAGTTAATTTCAACCTTTTCCAAATCAAATTCAACCTTTTCCAAGTCAAATTAAACCTTTTCCATTTCAAATTCAACCTTTTCCAAGTCAAATTCAACCTTTTCCATTTCAAATTCAACTTTAGAATTTTTGTCAATTTTCGATTTTTTTCGAAATGAAGGCCACTTACTATATTATCGACGGCATAGCTTTTAAAAAATACAAAAAAAAAATTGATTACGCAGTTGCATATCCATTTATTTTAACATTTTAGATTTTTTCAGTGTGATATTTCTATGTGATATTCAATTATTTCCAAGTCAAATTCAACCTTTTCCAAGTCAAATTCAACCTTTTCCAAATCAAATTAAACTTTTTCCAAGTCAATTCAACCATTTCCATTTCAAATTAAACCTTTTCCAATTCAAATTCAACCGTTTTCATTTCAAATTAATGTTTTAAGTTTTTGTAAATTTTATATTTTTTTTTTAAATAATGGCCATCCCCTCCCCCCCTCCAATATGAAAGTCTATTATTATGCTCTCCTAAGTAGAATTTTCACTTACGGATATCGATTTATTGTACCTATTCGGATTTCTTAGGGACTAGTATTATGCTGTCCTGTACCTAGTTTTGAAAATAACCTCCATTTTAAGATTACGTGACTGCGTTTCGAATCATTTAAGTTTTTTGACAAATTCGATATGTGGGTGTATTTTTATGTTTCCCGATCAGTAAATTTTGAAAATGACATCCATTTTATGTTTACGCCACTGTGTTTTGACTTATTTAAGTTTTTAGAATTTATCCAATATAAAGGTCTACTTTTATGTTTCCGGAGCCGTAGATTTTGAAAACGACCTTCATTTTAAGATTAGGCCACCGCGTTTCGACTTATTTGAGTTTTTCGGATATTTTTCATATGAGGGTGTATTTTTATGTTTCCGGAGCTGTAGATTTTGAAAATGACCTCCATTTTAAGATTAGGCCACCGCGTTTCGACTTATTTGAGTTTTTCGGATATTTTTCATATGAGGTGTATTTTTATGTTTCCGGAGCCGTAGATTTTGAAAACGACCTCCATTTTAAGATTAGGCCACCGCGTTTCGACTTATTTGAGTTTTTCGGATTTTTTTCATATGAGGGTGTATTCTTATGTTTCCGGAGCCGTAGATTTTGAAAACGACCTCCATTTTAAGATTAGGCCACCGCGTTTCGACTTATTTGAGTTTTTCGGATTTTTTTCATATGAGGAGTGTATTTTTATGTTTCCGGAGCTGTAGATTTTGAAAATGACCTCCATTTTAAGATTAGGCCACCGCGTTTCGACTTATTTGAGTTTTTCGGATTTTTTTCATATGAGGATGTATTCTTATGTTTCCGGAGCCGTAGATTTTGAAAACGACCTCCATTTTAAGATTAGGCCACCGCATTTCAATTTCTTTGAGTTTTTCGGATTTTTTTCATATGAGGATGTATTCTTATGTTTCCGGAGCCGTAGATTTTGAAAACGACCTCCATTTTAAGATTAGGCCACCGCATTTCGATTTCTTTAAGTGTTTCGAATTTTTATCATAAAAGAGTGTATTCTTATGTTTCCGGAGTCGTAGATTTTGAAAATGACCTCCATTTTAAGATTACGCCACTGCGTTTCGGCTTATTCAAGTTTTTCGAATTTATCCAATTTAAAGGTCTACTTTTATGATGCCGGAGCCTTAGTTTTTAAAACGACTTACATTTTAAGATTAGGCCACTGTGTTTCGGTTTTGTTAAGTGTTTTTGCTTTTTCCTTCGAATAAAAAACATAATACGAAGGATTAATTTATTTTTCAATAAATAAATAAAAATATCTAATCAAAATAAATAAAATATGTATTGTCTCATTTTTAATTTAATTTTAGTTATCTTTTTTAATTTTGTGGTCTCCTATCACAAAATTATAAGATTTCGAACAATTAGCTGAAAAATCTGAATACGGAAGGTTAAATTTATTACCAGTTGCTTTTCGGCTTTTTAGTTTGTATTCTGTGGTTAATTTTACTTTAGCTTCATAATATTTATTTATTTATTCATACTCGAAAACATATTGATGAAACTTTGTATTGAAAAAATCCAAAATGAAGCCTAATTAATCAAGATGCAGCGGCTTAATCATAAAATGGAGCTTAAATATTAGATAAATTTAAATATTAAAGATTAGAAAAATTTCAATACGTCTCGGATAACATATAAGTAGATCCTTATACCGAAAAAGTAAAAAAAAAAACTTTTATAATCCAAAACAGTGGCATAAACTTTAAATTGGGTCATTTACAAAATAGGGGAAATCTACTGCTCCAGAAACATAAAATTAGACCTTTATACTTGTTAAATTCTAAAAATTTAAATAAGTTGAAACGCAGTTGCGTAATCATAAAATAGAGGTCATTTTCAGAATCTACGGTTCCGAAAACATAAAAGTAGACCTTTAAATTGGATAAATTCGAAAAACTTAAATAAGTCAAAATGCAATGGCGTCATCATTAAATGGATGTCATTTTCAAAATCTACGGCTCAAGAAACATAAAAGTAGACCTTAATATTGGATAAATTCGAAAAACTTAAATAAGTCAAAACGCAGTGGCGTAATCATAAAATGGAGGTCATTTTCAAAATCTACAGCTCCGGAAACATAAAAATACACCCTCATATGAAAAATATCCGAAAAACTCAAATAAGTCGAAACGCGGTGGCCTAATCTTAAAATGGAGGTCATTTTCAAAATCTACAGCTCCGGATACATAAAAATACACCCTCATATGAAAAATATCCGAAAAACTCAAATAAGTCAAAACGCAGTGGCGTAATCATAAAATGGAGGTCATTTTTAAAATCTACAGCTCCGGATACATAAAAATACACCCTCATATGAAAAATATCCGAAAAACTCAAATAAGTCGAAACGCGGTGGCCTAATCTTAAAATGGAGGTCATTTTCAAAATCTACAGCTCCGGATACATAAAAATACACCCTCATATGAAAAATATCCGAAAAACTCAAATAAGTCGAAACGCGGTGGCCTAATCTTAAAATGGAGGTCATTTTCAAAATCTACAGCTCCGGAAACATAAAAATACACCCTCATATGAAAAATATCCGAAAAACTCAAATAAGTCGAAACGCGGTGGCCTAATCTTAAAATGGAGGTCGTTTTCAAAATCTACGGCTCCGGAAACAAAAAAGTAGACCTTTATATTGGATAAATTCTAAAAACTTAAATAAATCAAAACACAGTGGCGTAAACATAAAATAGATGTCATTTTAAAAATTTACTGATCGGGAAACATAAAAATACACCCTTATATCGAATAAGTCAAAAAAACTTAAATAATTCGAAACGCAGTCACGTAATCTTAAAAAGGAGGTTATTTTAAAAAACTACTCATACGATAACAGACCCACGCATCGAAAAATTAAAGATAATTAAATAAATAAAAAAAGGTTGAATTTGAAATGGAAAAGGTTTAATTTGAAATGGAAAAGGTTGAATTTGACTTGGAAAAAGTTTAATTTGATTTGGAAAAGGTTGAATTTGACTTGGAAAAGGTTGAAATTGACTTGGAAATGCTATATATAGAAATTAAGCAAATCTCTCTTCTGTACTGTTGATACTCATATATAAATTTCTACAAATAATAAGATATTGTCCCTAAGTTTTTCCGTTTGTAGGTTGTTCAATGTTTTTCAGAAACTAATTTTTTTTTCTTGAATGCCTCCTTTCGAAATTCCTCCTTTAAAAGTAAGAATTTTAAAGCTCATTAAAATAACTGAAATATTTCTTAAAACTTGATTTGAAACCGGTAGATGATCCTGATTACTATTATGATTCAATATGTTTAATTGTATTGTCGGCAGAAAAAACATTTACCTAATATTTACCTACATATGTGCTAATTGAGAAGAACCATTTTAAAGTACCTTTTTAAGAAATGGAAATAATAATAAGAATGATAATAGTTCGATTAAGAAAACTTTTTAGCTATTCCTAAATATATTAATTTAAAAAAAAAAAATACAAAATAGTTTTTTGAACATCTCAAGTCTTAGCTAACGCAATGTTAATTTATGGAATGTCTAAAGGATAGATCCACTCTAAACTTAATCTTTACATTATACAAGCATTATTTTAAATTTAATGTTATCTATTTTGAAACGATTCTAATTTGAAATTTCCTCTTTAAAAAAATAATAAATAGAAAAAAAAACTTTTTAATTGATTGGATTCGTGTATATATTTTATATCTTCAATGAAAATAATAGTTCATTCTC